CTTGGCGGGCCGCGTTTCCGCCTGCAGCCGCCCCTTCACGTTGTAGCGGCGGCGCAGCTTCCCCATGGCGCCTCCGGCACGCGCGCGGCTCCCTCAGCGAAGCTCCCTGAGCACTAGAACCAATGTGCGAGACTTCCGGGTTGCGCACGCGCAAGAGCGGAAGCTCGGCGGCTGAGGGGCGGAGCTAGAGTCCCGAGCATCCGGAAAGGGAGGGCGTAGCGGAAGAGGCGGGGCGCACTCTGCTTGTGGGCGGGGCCTGTTTCGTAAGAGGCCCGAGCCTAGACGTGCTTGAGGAGCCTGAGGTTCTGATCAAGCTGACCTGCAGGGTGGAATCTGAGGACCTTTGAACTGCATAATAATATTAATTGGGGGCTGAAGAGGTGGCTTTGCGGTTAAGAACAGTGGCTGCTCTTGCAGAGCACCCGGGTTCGGTTCCCAGCACCCATAAGACAGTTCACAGTCTCCTGTAACTCCAGTTCCATGTGCCTGTCTTCTGTCCCCCGTGGGAACTGCACTAATGTGCACACGCACTCAAACATAAAGTATGCCAGGCGTGGTGGCGCACGCCTTTAGTCCCAGCACTCGGGAGGCAGACCCAGGCGGATCTTTGTGAGTTCGAGGCCAGCCTGGTCTACAGAGTGAGTTCCAGGACAACCGGGACTGTTTCACAGAGAAACCCTGTCTCCAAAATAAATAAATAAGAATATATATATATCACCAGTATGTGCCTTTAATCCCAGCCAGCACTCAAAAGACAAGAGGTAAGCAGATCTCTGTGAGTTCAAGACCATCCTGGTCTACATATATATCTACACAGTAAATTCCAAAACAGCCATAGCTATATAGTGAGACCTTGCCTCTAAAATAGGGGGGGGGGGGGGGAGGATAGAGGGAGGGCTCAGTGGTTAAGAGCATTTGTTGCTCTTGCAGAGGACCTGGTTTCAGTCCCCAGCACCCACATAAGTGGTTCACAACCATTCCTAACTCCAGCAACCTCTTCTGAAAGGGTACTAGATACACATGTGGTGACAGGTGTAGCGTGCAGGCAAAACACTCACGCATAAATAAATAACATCTTTAGTATTAATTTGACTAAACATGTAAAATACAATCCTGCCCCTAGTGCAAACATCTCCTCTCTTCTTGTTTTGTTCATCTGTGTTTTCTGATATCCCCCACAGGTGAGGTGTATTCATTCCACAGGAAAAAGTGTGGAATATTTCTATGGCAGGAACAGAGATGTGAAAAGAAGGCATTTTATTAAATGGTTTAAAACTCACGCTGTCACTTTGTCTGAGGTGTACTCGGGAGTATTTCTCAACCCTGCAATTACCTTCCAAATTGAATAGTTCTGTTGTACCACACTTTTTCTGTTGAATTAATTTGAATGGGGGGTTGGTGGCACACTGAAATTCCTGATCTTAGAAGGTGGTAGCGGAAAGATCAGGCTAAGTTCAAAGCTGGCCTTGTCTATAGAGTAAACGAAAGGGCAGGAGAGACCCTGGGGAGGGGGGAGAAGTAAAAACAAAAAGAAAAGGGTAAAAAGGGGGGAAAGAGGCCGAGTCTGGGTTACATAGCAAAACCCTGTCTTTGAAAAAAATAAATAAATTACAGAGTCTGAGGTCACCTTCAATTGAGTGCACATACCTATACACTGATACACACATAATTTAAAAAAAAATCTTGCTGGGCATAGAGGGAGAGAACTGACTCCCTAAAATTTGTCCTTCACACACAAACAATGTGACACACACACACATACATACATACATACATACAAATATAAATAGATATTAAATAAATGTAATAAGATAGCATATAAATAATAAACTTCCAGAAGATACAAAGAACATCTTGGACACTAAGAAGAAAGAGGCACACACAGCTGCATGGATGTATTTCCTTAAAGTGAACAGAAGAGGGGTCTGGAGAGGTGGCTCAGCAGTTAAGACCCCACACTACTCTTATAGAGCACCAGTTTTGAGAACCCATAGTAGGTGGATCACAGCTACCTGAAATTCTTGCTTCAGGGAAAGAATCCAGCACCTCTGGCCTCTGAGGACACTTGCAAATGAATGCACATACCCACACACTGATATACACATAATTAAAAGAAAAAATCTTGCTGGGCATGGTGGTGTATGCTTTTAACCCCAGCACTTCAAGGAGAGGGTGTGGAAGCAGGTGGATAGTCTCTGTGAGTTTGAGGTCAGCTGGGTCTACAGTCAATTTCAGGTCAGCCAGGGCTACATAGTGAGACCCTATTTCTCTAGGGGTTGTATTATATCTCACTCCAAAATATTTGTTTGTTTTGGGGACAGGGTTGTAGCTCAGGTTGACATGTAACTCACAGAGCTCTGCCTACCTTTTTCCCAGGGCTGGGATTAAAGATGTATGCTGCTGTTAAGCCCTTTTGAGGTTTTAGCACAATGTGGTGGCATAAGACTTTGTGTCAAAACTCCTGATACTGAGGCTAGTGAGCCTCAGAGTTCCAGGCCAGCTAGAGCTGAGACCTTGTCTGAGAGGGGGTAAAAAAGTTTAACATCACATGAAAATATCAGTAAAAATATATGAAAAGACAACCCATAATGAAGTAAACCAAATCCTCAATAATATTTGAAACTTCTACAATACAGAAGGGTAGAGTTCAAAAGTAATTTTCAATTTTTTTCCCGTTTTTTCCAGACAGAATTTCTCTGTAGCTTTGGAGCCTGTCCTGGAACTCTGTAGACCAGGCTGGTCTTGAACTCACAGATATCTGCCTGCCCCTGCCTCCCGAGTGCTGGAATTAAAGGCATGCGCCACCACCGGCTCAATTTTTCTTTTGTGTGGGTGCTGGGGACTTGAACTCAGGTCCTCATACTTGTACAGTAAAAGTCCTCACCTACCAAGCCATCTCAGCTTTTATTTCCCCTTTTTCTGGTACTGGGGATGGGCCCAGGGTCTTTGCATTTCTCAGTGCATGCTTCTCAGTTACGTACTGGGCTGTACCCTGCCCCCAGTGTTCTCTCTTTGGACTGGATCAAGATTTATTTTCCTGGTTGTCTCAAACTTGTCTGGCTAGACCTGGTTTGTTTGATGTAGGGTGTGGAGGAAAATGTATCCTCTGAAGGTTCCATCATAGAGTGTATGAAATAAATTGAGGATATACGGGTCACAGGAGAAAGAAAAAGGACGACCTGATTCCGCGGATGCGCATGCACAAGATGCCCACAAGCTATGATGGAAGAGGAGCCAGGCTATACGGGGTGGAGGGTGAGCTATGCAAGGCTGAGGAGAAGAGCATTGGGGCGAAGGTTGTCTTGCTGTATAGATAAAGCTACGGATAGTGAAAGTCCTGTGAGGATTTGTTAGCATGGAGGCTGGGCTGTGCCAAAGTCCCTCAGGAGATTTCAGGGAATGGGCAAGCCCTAGATAAGACCCTCAGAGGGAAGCCGGGCGGTGGTGGCGCACGCCTTTGATCCCAGCACTCGGGAGGCAGAGCCAGGTGGATCTCTGTGAGTTCGAGGCCAGCCTGGTCTACAGAGGGAGATCCAGGACAGGCTCCAAAGCTACACAGAGAGACCCAATCTCAACAAAACAAAACAACAACAAATAGACCCTCAGAGGAAGCCCCTTCCTGCCTGCCAAGTTCCACAGTTCCCTCTGTGGGAGCAATCATCAGCTGCGAAGGCTGGGGTAGTGTTTCCTGGATTTTATTTATTAATGTTTTTTTTTTTTATGGTTCTGGAGATGGGACATAGGGCCTTCCACGCACTAGGCAAGTGAGTGTCCTGAAGTTAGGCCACATACATCTCCAGTCCTTTAACACAGAGATTTATTTATTCTTATGTTTTGTACAAGGTCTCACTAGGTTGCCCAGGCTGGCCTTCAACTCATTCTATAGACAGGCCTGGAATTTGTTTTCTTCCTGCCTTAGCTTTCCTTAGCTGGAGTGATAGACCTAAGTCATTGTTTTATTTTCATCATTTTAAAATTAAAATATTATGTCCTGGATCTTGCTCTGTAGATCAGGCTGGCCTCAAACTCACATAGATCTTGTATGGCTCTGCCTCCCAAGTGCTGGGATTAAAGGCGTGCGCCATCACCGCCCAGCCCATTTTATTTTTTTGAGACAGGGTCCTACTATTTAGGGCAGGCTGACCTGGGACTCAGGGTATAACTGAGGTTGGCCTGACCTGGCCATGATTCTTCCCTCAGCCTCTCTAGGGTTGGATTTACAGGCACACATCACCATGCCTCTAATATGATTATCGTGGCTTTTAATCTTTCAAACCCATAGTCCTCTGGTCCTCTTGCCTGCCATGCCATGGGGTTCATATATAAGAAGCCCAGAAGCCCAGTCGCTTTTCAGGTAGGAAGCCCTGAATTTTGGTAAATTCCTCTTATCCCTACACCTCTCTTAGGTCTCTGAGCCCTTACGTCCCTCTAGGTGGCGCGGCGGGTACTTCCTGACAACAGAATTGACTGGCGGGACCAACTCTAGACACCCTCCCCCACCGAATCTCTTTTGACTTGAGACCTAAGGAACACCCCCTGGTCCCATCAAATCCTTTATAAAGCGCTGCACAATACCAAACCTCTTCCCCAGTTCCCTCCTCGCTCATCAGCTTTCCTATCCCATCACCAACTTCCCCTCTCCAGCCACTTTATGGCTCGGAAATGCCATCCATGCAGGAGGGGCCTGAGAACGAATGAAAGCGTGCTCCACGAGGCCTGCCTTTTGGGGTGCGGGGAGGTGACAAGACACCTGCCCTTCCGTTTCCCAACCGCTTGCAAGGACCCAGCCCAGACCCAGCCCAAGAAGGAGCCTTTGCAAGCCCCCGCATGCGCTGGGGTGTATAGCACAGTTGATACCCTCAGCTCCCGGTATACAGGGGAGTCGACCCTCTCTCGGGGCGGGAAGTGGCGGGGGGGGGGGGGGGGGGGAGGTGGTGCTGCAGGCGGGAGGCGGGGCTTCGTGCGCGGGGCGGGGCGGGGCTGTAAGGCGGGGCGGGGCGACGGCGCGCCCACGCGGTGCGGCCCGGAGCCCTCGGTGGCGGTGCGCTCCGCCCTCTCCCCTCCCCTCTCCCCCACGACCCTCTTCCCTTGGCCGAGCATGGGCGCGCGCGCGTCCCAGGAGCCCCGGGCCCGGGCCGGCCTGCGGCTGCTGCTGCTGTTTCTGCTGGGGGCGCTGCTGCTGGTGGCGCTGGTGGCCCCCGGCGCGCAGGGGGCTCGGGGCCGCGGGACTGCGGACAAGAACAGCCACCGGCGCGCGGCCAGCAGCTTCTCGCAGAGCGTGAGCAGCCTGTTCGGGGAGGACAACGTGCGCGCGGCTCAGAAGGTGGGCGGCGCGCCCGCGGTCACCTTGCGGCGCCGGGAGACCGTTTGGGGCGTGGGGGGGGGGAGGAGAAGTGGGGGGGGGAAGGAGCGGGGGAGCACCCGGGCTGGGGACGGTCGCGGCCTGCTGCAGCCCGGGCCAAGCGCAGCCCCCGGGAGCGCGTGACGCCCGCGCGCTGACCCGCCGCGTCTCAATGGTCCCCCCACTGTGAGCCAGGCACTGGGGAGGGACGCCCGGGTCCCCACGAGGCCTGGCGTCGAGGGCCTCCTGCCTCCCACCCCTTGCCTCAGAGATAGCTGGGCCGAGATCTCCTTTCCAGGGAGTGATGGGGTCTGAGCTATTGCTTTGGCAACCTGAGCGCCTACTGTGTGTTTGGGGTAGAGGGGGCACCTCTCGGTTGGAGCCTTTGGTAGAGCATGAGAGCTTAGGGTCTCCGGGACTGGGATGAGCCCCTCCACCAAGGAGCTCTCCACCCTCCGCCGTGCATCTACGTTGGGTGCACCATGCTAAGAAAAGAGATGTCGAGATGCACGCCTTCTCTTGCCTTCCCCGCGTTCCCTTCCTGGTCTCTGGCCCTGGGGTTGTGGAGTCCAGAGAACTTTGGGTCCAAGTTGGGGCACTCCCTCTTTCCCCAGCCGGATGAAGTTAGACCAGTGGCTTCAGTGGTGTGTGTGAGTGTGGAGTCCAGAGGTCGGCCGCGGGCATTCAACCTCAGGAGCCATCCATTTTGAGACAAAGTTCTTATTGCCCTGAAGTTTGAAGGTGAGGTCAGGCTGGCCGGCCAAGTGGGCCATTGGGATCTTCCCGCTTCCACCTCCCCAGCATGGGGATTACAAGGGTTTGGGGATTGAACCCAGGCCCTCCACTGTATAGACCAGGCAGGACTCAAATTGATAGAGCTCTGCCTGTCTTTGCTTCTTGAACCCGGGTCCTCATGCTTGCACGGGAAGCTCTTTATCGATTGAGCCATCTTTCCAGCCCCAGTGACTTCACTTCTAAATACTTTTAATTACGTTTATTTGTTGATTGTGTGCGTGTGCGTGCACATGGACGTGCGAGAGTCAGAAGACGGCTTTAAGACATCTTTATAAAGTTCTCTGCTTCCTCCATGTGGGTCATGAGAATCCATAGCTGGTCGTGGCAAGCACCTTTACTGGCTAAGCCATTTTGCCTGTCCCTGCCTTCTCTTTAAACCTCAGTTTTTCTGTCTGTTAAGTGGAGATGGGAACATTAGCTCCTTTGTTATGTGTTGATGCAGCTGGTTCCTTCCTGACGCAGAATCATGAATCTCGAAAGTTTGATCTTTGCTGTGGGGTAATTTAATTGAACATTGCTTACCCCTGCTGGGGGGGATTTAGAGGTCTAAAACCTGAAAGTTTGGAAAGTTTATTGGTCCTTAGCATGAGGGAGAAGAACATTAGGAACTCAAATTTATTTTTTATTTATTTATTTTTTGATACAGGGTCTCTCTTTGTAGCCCACCCTGGCTGTCCTGGAACTCTCTATGTAGACCAGGCTGGCCTTGAACTCACAAGAGATCCACCTGCCTCTGCTTCCCAAGTGCTGAGATTAAAGGTGTGTGCAACCAAGCTTGGTTGTATTTTTATTTTTAATTATGTGTATTCCTATGGCTGTGTTTGGTTAACACGAGTGCAGTTGCCCACAGAAGCCGGAAGAGAGCATCGAATGCCCTGGGGCTGGAGTTACAGGCAGTTGTGAGCTGTCTGATATGGGTGCTGGGAACCAAACTTGGGTCTTAGTGATAGCAGTATGGATTTTTAACTGCTGAGCCATCTTTCTGGCCTCCTGATGGCTGTTTTGAAAATGGTTACTACAAATATTCATGTACCAGCTGCTAAATAGTTATTATATATCAGTATTTTTGGGTGCTGGGGATTGAACTCATAACCTTGTGCATGCTAAGCACTCAGGCTACTCTCTGTCCTTAATAACTTTCAAATGAATGAAGGAGTTATTACTCTCCTTTTAGACCATGCCCTTTCATATGTACTGCAGGTATTCAGTACACAAAACGCAGTCACATCCAACTCCCCAGATTCTCTCTTCTGCCCAAATGAGACAGAGAAGTGGTCAAGACCACAGCCTCAGGCCCCAGAGCTCCAGAGGCCCAGTGGCAATTCAGACCCGTACCACCATGCATAAGGTTTATTTCACACAAATTATGATTAGAATGTGGAGCACCTTCTCTCTCTCTCTCTCTCTCTCTCTCTCTCTCTCTCTCTCTCTCCCCCTCCCCCTCCCTCCGTCCCTCCCTCTCTTTTTTTTGAGACAGGGTCTCACTATGTAGTCGTGGCTTACCTGGAAACTCACTATCTAGACCAGGCTGGACTCAAATTCCTAGAGCTCTGCCTTTCTTTGCCTCTGTGGTGCTGGGTTTAAAAATACTGGGTCAAGTACCTGGGACACAAACTTTTTAAAAGCCTCCCACCCACAAGGCAGGTTTGATTCTAATTAGTAAACCCGGGCCTGTTAAGCCATCCAGCAGGCTTTTCCTCTAGTTAAAATTATCTGAGGGCCCAGACGTGGGCTCAGCAGGTGAAGGCGCAAAATGTGTTCGCCAGGAAGCCTGATGATGTCTTGAGTTCTTACCCTCCCCCAGCAGCCAAATGGTGGGGAGAGAGAACTGACCCCTGCAAGTTGTCCTCTGACCTTCACAGGTGGAGTGTGCGCGTGCGCGCACACTCACACACACACACACACACACACACACACACACACACACCAAAGAGTTCTTCCAAATTATATTTTCTACACTGTAGGACATCACTATCCCATAAGCACTGTAACAGTGTGGCTCTCAACCCGTGGTGGGTCATGACCCCTTGGGTTTGCATATCAGATATCCTGCATATTGACATTGATATTGACATTACGATTTTTTATTTTCTTTCGAGACAGGGTTTCTCTAGCTTTGGAGCCTGTCCTGGACTTGCTCTGTAGACCAGACTGGCCTCGAACACACAGAGATCCACCTGCCTCTGCCTCCCGAGTGCTGGTATTACAGGCGTGCGCCACCACTGCCCGGCTGACATTACACTTCATAACAGTAGGAAAATTACAGTTATGAAGTAGCAATGAAATAATTTTATGGTTGGGGGTCAGCACAACGTGAGGAACTAACTGTATTAAAGGGTCGCAGCGTTAGGAAGGCTGAGAACCATTGCTCTATTAAAAACCGTTCATGAGGGCAGGTGAGATGGGTCAGCAGGTGTAAAGTGCCTGGTGACCTGAATTCACCCACACGGTGGAAGGCAAGTTGTCTTTTGCCTTCCATATGTGAACCATAGCGCACGCACGCACACATATATTTAATTTTTTTATATATGTATTTATTGCACATAAATAATTTTTTTAAAAAGGACCTTTTTTTTTTTATTCATTTTACATACCAACCACAGATCCCCCTCTCATCCCTCCTCCCACTCCCCCCCCGCCACCTATCCCCCCCACTCCTCATCTCCTCCTCCAACAAGGTAAGTTCTCCCGTGGAGGGACAGATAAGCCTGGTACATTCAGTTGAGGCAAGACCAAGCCCCTCCCCACTTTATCAGGGGTGAGCAAGGCGTCCGACAATAGGTAATGGGGATCCAGAAAGCCAGCTCATGCACCCGGGATAGCTCCTAATCACACTTCCAGGGGCCCCTCAAATAGACCCAGCTACACAGCTGTCTCTCGTATGCAGAGGGTCTAGTCCAGTCCCATGCGGGTTCCACAGCTGTCGGTCTAAAGTTCGTGAGTTCCTTTGAGCTTGCTTTTTTTTTTTTTTTTTTTAGTATTTTTATTTTATAATTAGCTTAATTTCACCTATCACCCATGGATTCCCCCGTCCTCCCTCCTACCACCCCCCAGCCCTTCCCCCCAATCCACACCACATTCCCACCTCCTCCAAGGCAAGGTCTCCCCTGGGGAGTCAGCCCAGCCTTTTAGACTCAGCCAAGGCAGGTCCTGTCCCCTCCTCCCTACACCAAGGCTGAGCAAAGTGTCCCAGCATAGGCCCCAGGCTCCAAAAAGCCAGCCCATGCACCAAGGACAGGTCCTGGCTCCACTGCCTGGGGGCCTCCCAAACAGTTCAAGCTCATCAACTGTCTCACTTATCCAGAGGGCCTGAACCAGTTCCATGGGGGTTCCTCAGCCATTGGTTCACAGTTCATGTGTTTCCACTAGTTTGGCTATTTGTCCCTGTGCTTTTTCCAATCATGGTCTCAATATTTCTCATTCATACAATCCCTCCTCTCTCTTGCCGATTGGACTCCCGGAGCTCCACCTGGGGCTCGGCCGTGGATCTCTGCATCCACTTCCATCAGACACTGGATGAGAGTTCTATCATGACAGCCAGGGTGTTCGGCCATCCAGTCACCAAAGCAGGTCAGCCTCAGGCACTCTCTTAACGATTGCCTGTAGTCTACAGTGGAGGTATCTTTGTGGATTCCTTGGGACCTCTCTAGCACTCTGCTTTTTCCTATTCCACCTGGGGTCTTCATTCATCATGGTATCTCCCTCTCTGTTCTCCTGATCCAGCTGGGTTGGGGGTGGGGGTAATGGAGGGCAAGGGTCGGGGGAAGAGACCTTTGAGCTTTTAAAAGCCATCGCATGATCCCATAGGATGGGGTTGGGAATGGGGCAGAATGCTGTTTCCTAAAAAAATTAAGCTACCGTTTCAATCAGAATGTGGTCAGGGACTAGGGAGGTGACCTAAGGGTCTGACGACACTGGCTGCTCTTTCAGAGGACCTGGGTTCCATTCAGTAGTTGGTCATTTCAGTTCCAGGCGATATGGCACCCTCTTCTAGACGTCACGGACAATTGCACACACACACACATACTTTAAATAAGTAGAGAAAAAGAATCTTAACCACCAGATCACCTGGGTTATTTCCTTCGTGTCGCCGCCATTCTGAGATCTTGTCTACTCTCAACTCATTTTTGTCTTCACTGCCCATGAAAGCCCGGGTCCTTGTACATCATGTGTAGTATAATGCGTAA